GTTTCATGTGGGAAGTGGAGATGCTGGGAGACCCCTAGGAAAATAGAATGAGACTTCAAGGTCTGCAGACGCCAGCAGATCTACCTCGAGTCTCCAATGAGCAAATCCAAGTTGCTACGCCTCACGAACAACTATGGACGGTAACAAAGTTTGCACAAGAAGTGCAGAGTGTAGTATGAGTACAACCGACCCCATGTACTTGTAAGTGTCGAGCCTAACCTCGACGACGTAGTGACGAGGCTATGACAAGACACCTACATAATAAAACTGTCCAGATAACAGTATATGTACAAGATAACAACAAATAAAAGTTAAACACGTACCATTATGAGGGGGACATGCTAAAGGGACACAAGATTTAAGAGATACAACGGAAATGATAACCAGAACAATCNATCCACTTAACAAACGTTGTCGTTTGGTTGAAATTCAGGGTCAGGCTGGATCGGGTCAAAGGGTCGGGTTACGGGTTACGGGTAAGGGGGTTTAGATCTCTGCCGTTGGATTGATTCAATCCAACGGTCCTTGATGAAGCGTGACCAAACGCTGTCATTTTGGCCTGTGTAAATTGGACCGGACAGGTTTGTTTGGACTGGGCTGAGGGACAATTGTTTTATTTGGGCANAACAATCAACTTGCTTTTAACCAATGAAAACAACTAAACACAATGAAGAAAATTGCACGGCATCACCCTTCGTGCTTTTACTCTCAACCTCACAATAATACAATAATACTGCACGACATCACCCTTTGTGCTTTTACTCTCTGCCTCACAATATAAATCAATAGATACGGTACGACGTTACCCTTCGTGCATTAACTCTCATAACATGGCACAACATCACCCTTCGTGCATTAACACTCACAATATGGCAGAACATCACCCTTCGTGCTTTAATACTCACAATATGGCAGGACATCACCCTTCGTGTATTGACACTTATAATATGGCACGACATCACCCTTCGTGCATTAACACTCTCTCTTACCACATAACAATGAACAAGTAATAGCAGGGAGACAAAATCAACAAGAACACGCCTTACTTCAACAATGGTTCCACAATACCAATCTCAACTTTGTAATCAATACTCAATTATCAAAAAAGCCCGTAAACACGATAAGAACGATCAAGTTAGTAATTAACTAGTCTAAGCATGGATAACAAGATCAAAGTAAGCAATAAACTACAAGGAACAAGTCCCCACCCGCATGCTTTAACCCGACACAACGCATAAGTACTCGTCACCTCACATATACGTTGTACCCAACATCTAAACATGTAGCAAATAGACAAACAAGTCTTAATCCCTCAAGTCAAGGTTAACCACGACACTTACCTTGCTCCCAAGGTCCACTTCAAAGCTCAATCACAACTTTGCATTTCAAACAAGCCTTCGAACCAATAGAATCTAGCAAATTACTAACCAAACGATTCAAATTAAAACCTTAGGAACTATCCACGATTGTAAAGGATTCAATTTAGGTCATTATTGAAAAAGTCAACAAAAGTCAACTCCCGGGCCCGCTCGGTCCAATCCCGAAATTCGGACCAAAACCCGATTACCCATTCACCCTTGAGCCTGGTTATGTAACTTGTTTTGGAATCCGACCTCAATTTGAGGTCAAAATCCCATTTTATAAAAATCCTTAATTCTACCCAAAACCCCCAATTTGCACCATAAAAACACAAGATTTTTGGTTGAAATATTAGGAAATGTAGTGAAAGATTGAAAGAAACTAGTTTAGAATCACTTACGAGTGATTTGGGGAAGAAAGGTTCTTTGAAAAATCGCCTCTAGGGATTCTTGTTTTGAAAATTTGAGAGAATGAACCAAAATCCCGTCTAAGTCCCATTTCGATTAGTTGCAGATGTCGCATTTGCGACCTGGGGTTCGCAAATGCGAAGAATCAATCGCAAATGCGAAGACCTTCACATCTCTGCTTTCATCGCATTTGCGATGACTTGTTTGCAAATGAGAACATTGATCTTCCGCATTTACGACCAAATTGATCGCAAATTCGACCAAGCCTGCCCCAGCCCCACTTCGCAAATGCGAAGTATTGTTCGCAAATGCGAACTCTGGCCTCCCGCAATTGCGACCTCTTGATCGCAAATGCGAACTCATGCTGACCCAGGTACTCTTCGCAAATGCGAGCCTGTCAGGATTGGGGAATGTTCGCAAATCGAACACTGATCAGACATCGGTTACCAGAAATTGCAGAACCAGCTGAGTTTTCTAAGTCCAAACCACTCCGTAGCCTATCCGAAACTCACCCGAGCCCTCGGAGCTTTAAACGAACTATGCACACAAGTTTAAAAATATCATCCGAACTTGCTCGTGCGATTAAATCGCCAAAATAACACCTAGAACTACGAATTGAACACCAAATCAAATGAAATTTTCAAGAAAACTTTGAAACTTCTATTTTCATAACCGGACGTCCGAATCACGTCAAACCAACTTCGTTTCTCACCAAATTTGACAGACAAGTCATAAATATAGTAGTGGACCTATACCGGGTTCCGGAACTGAAATACGGATCCGATATCCAAAAAATCAAACATTGGTGAAACATTTCAAAGTCATTAAGCCTTTAACTTTTAAATTTCAACAAAGTGCGATAACTCGAGTTAGGGACTTCCGAATTCGATTTCGGGCATACGCCCAAGTCCCAAATCACGATACGGATCCACCGGGACCGTCAAAAAATAAATTCGGATCCATTTGCTCAAAACGTTGACCGAAGTCAACTCAAATGGGTTTTAAGGCAAAAGTTTTACATTTTCTTAGTTTTTAATATAAAAACTTTCCGAAAAAATATCCGGTCTGCGCACGCAAATCGAGAAAAGCTAAAATGAGGTATTTAAGGTTTCAAAGCGCATAATTAGATTTTGAAACATAAGATGACCTATCGGGTCATTTTTCCTGCAGAGATGTTGATTATTGGTTTCAGCTCATTTATGAAATTTATCTACCGATTGGATGTCATTTGTTCTAATTATGGTGTGTAAATGTGTGAAGTTTGGTTGAGTAGCTGGTTCCAGTTTGTTATTTCATCTTTAAAAAGGGGGCATTGATAAATGGCAGGGGGCTTCTATTCTAGCTAGGAGTATTGTTGCTGATTATAGGTGAGATGGATTTGCTAGTTTATAGCAATCCTTGTTTTGACAATCTTTATTTGCCTCTATAGTAAAAATAAAAAAAATAAAAAAATTACCAATTGCATGCTTTGGTATTTTTGTATGTGTTAAACTTTAAGAAAATAGTTTGAAAATCAAGTATACCGAAGATATACTGTTTGAATTGGAGAGGAAGCTACAGAAGGAAGTGCAAAAAGAGTGGTAGATGAATTGAAGAAGTGAAGAAAACCATTGTTGTTTCAAAATTAGTTAGATTCTGTTTGAATATTGAAAATAATTTTATTATGACATTGTTTTCTTGTAAAGACTACAGATTTTTGTACTTGAAATTACTATATAGAGAGCTTCTGTTTCCATTACATATGATTCCAGTTTATGTTTTTTTTATAGGATGCATTAATAAAAATAGTCTTGAGAATTAATAATATTTGCGTAAATGTCAATAATAATTCAAATATTTCCGACACTTTCAAATAAGTCGCAAACAATTAGCTAAAAACTACAATGCTGACATTTGATAAAAGTCTCAAACAAATGTCACTATTCGTTTGCCGACATTAATCTATGTGTTGGAAATTTGAAAGTGACATTTTTGCAAATGTCAGTAAATAAATGTCGCAAATCTTTTACCGATATTTATTTAAACTTCAAAAAATTACCGATATTGAAATTTCCGACATTTACATTAAATATAAAATAAATATCGGTTAAAGATTTTGTGACATTTATCCAACTTAATGCGTTTATAATATGTCGTCGTATGTCAACTTTTTGTAGTGACTATAATTTAACTTGTACGAAAGTAATCTGATAAGATTGCTTAGCGTTCTTTAATACTCATTCAATCTCAAATATCAGTCGCTTTCAAGAAACATGATTTATTCTTTAAATATTTGATGATATTTCTTTTTTAAAATCAACTGTCATGATTCCAATTAGTAAAATATTAATTAAGTAAGAATATTAAGAAGAAATAAAAGACAGTTTAGATAAATGTTTTATGATTGAAGTTATTACATAAATATATTTTTTAAACGATGTACAAAATTCTTAAAAGATAATATGATGCAATATAATACTAGTGTGGGGAGAAGTACACAAATAGCCATTTTTAGGACTGCTATTCAGGGTTTAGCCAACACTTATTTTGTTCTGAAAATTTGAACTAACACCTTAACTTTATTGTGTCCTGAAAAATTAAACTGACAAACTGAAATTCAGAATATAATGGCTAATTTTAAAAGAGAAATTTTCATAAACCACTATAGTTTAGAGCCTAGTAACTACAATTTGCCTAATTACTATTTGTAGCTACTATTTAATTGTTACTAACTTGTATCACTTGTATTCAAATGCACAATGAATACAGCATGTGTCAACTTCGCACAACGAATACAATGTGTATCAACTGTATTCGTTCGCATCAACTGTATTTGTTCGTACAACGAATACAACTAAGGCGAGATACAAAAATAAAGAAAAATAAAATATTTTTGTTGAGAGTTGAACTAACCTTCATTAACTATGCGAGTGCTCTAACCACCCGAGCTATAAGAGCTTATTGCTCTCTTGTTTCAGTTCAAAATAATTAATCTCTTATTTTACGAATTTGCTATAAAATTTAATTATAGTTATGAATGGTAAATTTACTGAAAGTATAGTTACGAATAATAAATACGGTGTAAATATTTGAGGCTTGGTGTAACTTTCCCATCTAAAACAGTAGCCCTAGAATGGCTAGCTGATGTCATTTCTACTTTTTGTTTTTTTTTAGTTGACTAGGCTAGTCCGTAAGGAAAGTATGGATTGTCAATTTACGAGTCCAACTATTTTCGCCCTTCAGTCAAACTGAATTTGTCCCGTTGTCTGTACCCAACTATTTCCTCATGGAGTCTTTATTCTTAGCCCCCCCCCCCCCCCCAAAGTGGACATTTGGCTTGGTGCTCGCTCAGATTTTGGTACTTTTTGAGCTCAGATTTTCATTGTGCAATTAAAATTTCAGATCTTGATTGCTTCTGCTATACCCTGAATTATCTTGTACTGTTAATATCTGTACCATTTGATCATGATCTTGCCTAACGTATGACACGTTATCTTTACTTTTCAGTTTGACACTTCAAATGACTCATAAACTCATTGCGTTCTTCACAAAAATCTTGCTTCCGTTCTTCGTAGTGTCCACTCTCTCTCTTCCTAACAGGTGAGTACTGAGCAGAGTAAGGATTTAACTTTAGCTGTTAGTGTTCTTTGATTGCTTCTGTTATTATTATTATTAATTTTTTACTTCGGTAAGTAACTCTTCTTTCCTAATTTGCCTTAGTAGACGCAATATTTAGTACTGAGCTTGAATAGAGTAGAGTAGATAGAGGATTCATATAGTCGGCCCAAGTCAACCCCAACAAGTTCTGGGACTAAGGGCGTAATTCATTGATGTATAAGTAACTTCAAAGGTTCTGGCTTTCCTGGAGAATATAGGCGAGCATGATTTTATCTACTTAATTATGTGTTCAACATGCCCCTCGTGTGCAGGGGCCTAGTGTTTTACAGACGGGTTCAATTGAATCCATAACTTTCGATGCAGGATAAAAATTCATATATAAAAATTTATTAAAATTGCAAAAATAGTAGATATGAACCTATAATTTTATAAATATAATGAGTTCAATGCTAAAAATCTTGAAGGTTGAACCTATAGGATTTAAATCATGGATCCGCCTATGCTCACATGCGGGCCTGACTTTGTTTTGATTATGGGTGACGGTGAGATTCGAACCCAGACCTTTGCTTACTCTAATACATGCTGAAAAGCAAATATCATGTTGAAGCGTGTGGCCATCTTTTTGTGTTAATTCTTGCCAGTATTTGCCTTCTTTCTTATCGTTCTTTTTCCCCATCATTGTGTATTCTGTAACTATTTTTTGTTGCTCTCACACTGGACTTAGATTTCTCGTAACTTAAAAATTAATCATGCAACTATGCTTCAATTCCTAATTAGTTAGGTCTGCATATTATTTCTTTATGTCCATTCCACTATCTTCAGTCGGAGTTGGCTATATGAATCTTAAAATGATTAAACAGAAGAGAGTACGGAGAATGCCCTTCTTAGGGGTTCGACTTGTTGACCATGGTTCTCCTTTGTTTCCTATATTACTCACGTTCTATGCTTCTCTTTCTTCAATGCTCTAATGCTGCAGATGTTCAGCAGATGCTTCTACAGAAATAGAAAGGACACTGGCTATAATAAAGCCAGATGGGGTTTCGGGAAACTATACAAATCCCATAAAGGAAACAATTCTAGATCATGGATTCAAAATCACTGAGGAATTGTTCATTCAGCTTGACGAGGATCATGTGAAAAGCTTTTATGCTGAGCACTCCTCAAGGAGCTTCTTTCCAAGCCTTGTTGAATACATGGCCAGGTAAACTTTTCCCGTCTGGAGATGGTATTTGATTCTGAATTTGCTAGTAAGCCTCATTCTGTTTCTTAGCCAAGGTACCTGTTAGTCCTGCTGCATTATTTTTTCCTTTTTCCCTTTTTATCTATTGCTTCAAACTATTTACTGGTTCTTTGAGGAAAAGTAAATAACATCCTTATAATATAGGCTGTAGGCTAGTTTGATTTGATCTCAAGTGGTTGTTGAGAACATCTATACTGTTATATGGAGAATTTACCGAAACAATTTGTTGCCTCTTGAAAATGGATGATATTCGATGTTGACTATTGCAAGATCCCTGAAGGGATTGCAGCCTAAACTGACTGTTGCATCTGCCTCTAGATTGGAGCTATTATATGTTGCTTCTAACTGTATAATAGAAAATAGCATACTCAGACCTTGGAATTTAGAATTGAGGTTCATAAGCGATCGGGATGATTGGAAGGTGGCATAGGTCGACCAAATTTTCTCTATATTACATGTTTCTGAATATTTGGGACAGGAAGCGGATACCCTTCTTTGGCGGAGGCAGAAAAATGAGAGCTTTAGTGTTTTCTACTCACTACTTATTCAGCTAGTGGTGATGGACGACGGTTTCCATGGTAGGCCATTTTCAGCTCTGAGTGACAATGATGAAGAAATATGTGAATCACCTCCTTTTGCATTGTGAGGTGGAGCATGTTTGATGTGCCGTTTGGAGTGGGATAGGTTTTGCAAAGAGCCAATTTTGGAATGCGTATCATCAATGAAGGGGTTCTAACTTCTAAGTATGCATGGAAGTGTTAAGTTATTTTGTTGGTGTATTCAGAGGGTTGAGGCCCAATTGATTGAAACAAAAGTTTGTAAAAGATAAATTTTCATCAATAAAGTTTTGTAAATGATATAGAAAGCTTTGGAATCTTTTGAGTTCGTTAGAGATATAATTTTGTAAGAAATGATATAGAAAGCTCTTCTATCAAAGAAGTAAATAACATAGAAAGATATGTGAATCTTCTTTGAGTGCTTTCAAGATGCAGTTTTATATAAGTGATATAACACCAGCTTGGTAACCTTTTCATCCATTTCAAATAAACCCTTCAGTTATTGAGAAAAAGGGTATTTTTTCATTTATCAACTTGATAATCATTTCATTTCAGTGACAGAAGTAGCGAAATTAGTAAAGATCTGTCTTTTGGGATCTTGAATTTAGAATAGTTTTGTGGACTGATTTCTCATGAGAATTTTTGCAGACTGCTCCTCCCTTCTCATCCATTTACTACTTTTTTCCTTGATTGACCAATTTATCATCAGTGGTCCATTGTTGATAATGGTTTTGGAGAAAGGGAATGCCATAGCTGACTGGCGTGCACTAATTGGTCCAACAGACCCACTCAAAGCAAAGGTTACTCATCCTCACAGGTACCTTCCTGTTATTATTACATAGGTCATACAATTAGAAGATTAGAAAGTTAAGTAGATAGCCATAGCAGGAGTTTGTCTTCCTTACAAAATAAGGGGTACTGCCTTAGTTTAACTCAGTAAAAAATGCATTTCTCAAAGATTTGCTTTTGAAAATTGAAACGTTGTAAAGTATGTGTAACTCTCGAATTCCCTTAGTCTGAGGTTGCATTTCTGCAAAGAAGCTGTCTCCTTCATGGTATTACATTATTGCGTTTACTGATATTCTTGCAAATTTTGCGACTCTTCTCCTCCCACATATATTAAAGATTTATCTGAAACAGCTAACTTCGTCTTACTTTCTACGTTATGAGCTTTTGCAGTTTTGTTTTCTATCTCTACAATTGAAGATGTTGAAGTTGTTGGTAATGCCTACGACTTTATTGACCCCATACGTAGTTAAAGGAGTTCACAGTCTGAGTTACTTGTAACGGCACCTACTTGGTGTTGTTTTCATTAATAAAATACCTATACATATCCAAACAGAAAAAAATTATTGGTGATACTTTTTACCTTGACAATGTCAGACTTTTGTTAATTCTTGATTTTGTTAATTCTTGGCAAGACATATGTTTCTTTAACCTGTGTCTTTATCACTTTCAGTGTCAGAGCCATATGTGGGCTGGATTTACAGAAGAATTGTGTTCATGGTTCTGACTCACCTCAGTCTGCTCCCCGGGAAATATCCTTTTTCTTTGAAAGGACATCATCAGGTCACTACTAGCCCATTTTATGCATGTTTCTGATTATGGTTATGCACTTTGTTCTTGAGGTCTCTTTTTCCCAACTTTTTCCAATGAAAAAGAAAAAGAGTGATGATACACGTTCTTTTTAGGTGTGACATGTGATGATATTCGTTTTTGCTGGCTGTGACATATTGGTCAGCAGTCGTTACTTTTTAAATCCTGCATGAAATTCTTGAATTGTTATTTTTATACCAACTGCAAATTACTCCTACTTTTTTTGGTACTAGTCTCCTCTGAGATTTTCTTGGCCGAACAAATGGGTGCAAGAAAGGAAATAAAGCATTAATTTGATATTTATCATCCAAATTGTTTATTTTTGCATAAAATGATAGTGTAGTTTTATCTGCATTCTGTAGCTGATTATGAAGTCTTCTTGTCCAAATTCTTTAGTGTGGGTCTGATGCATGTCGTAAGAGACGGTGAGGGAGAGATCGGCTGTATTTGGTGCCCGGAAAAATTGTCACCTTTAACTTTTGAGTAAACTGCATTTATTAGTTATCAGTATGGCCGAATTACTTTAAGTTGCTTTCAGATTTACCACATTTAACCGTTTAGATTGAGACAAGTGAAATTAGTTCTTCTGCCACTTTTTATTTTATTTTAAAGATTTAAAGAGTCTGTCGGACAGCCATTAGACCATCCCAGCAACCATGGTTAGGGGCTGAGAACGATCATCTACTGCGCCATGACCCGAGGGCCGTGGGAGCTGTTAATCATGCTCTGGTCTAATGGCCATGTCTCATCAACCAGACTTGGTTTTCTTCTGCCACTTGGATTAACAGAAACGAGGATTCTAACAGTTACACCGGCTTTTGCCACCCAGTGCCCCATCTCCGTTGCTTCTTCCCTTAAACTTCTAAACGCTTCTTTGAAACCTGTAAAATTATTACGAATGTATGCTCAACCCTCTACGAACTAGATTAAATTTCCAGGATTGGAGATGAGGTTATAGAGGGTCTATGTCTGGCACTTATTTTTACTCTTTCTGGGGGGTTTTGGGGAGGGTCACTGGACCATAAGGTTAGAAATTTTTGTTTAATTTGTTCAACTTCAGCATAATATGGACCAAATTAGCTAATTTCCAAATTGTATAAGATTAAAAATGTGTTGAACACGATAAGAAGGGACGAAATTATTCTGTAATGCCTGAACAGAAAGTGCAAAAATAGCCCTTCATTTTGATGGAAGTATCCTGAAAACCAATTTCTTATTTGATATTTTACTTTTGCTGCTTCTTTAGAAGTTGTTTGGAGAACTAGAAAAATGTCCTCTCTCTCCAATTTAAACGCCCTTCCCCAATCCCCGCCGCAAACAAAAAGAAGAAGAAGAAAAAAAAAGCGCTAGTCCGCAAACAAAAAGAAGAAGAAGAAAAAAAAAAAGCGCTAGTCTTTTGCTTGGTTGATATACAGATGTAAACTCCATGTAGATTCTTCTAACTAAAGTAAAATGGAAACAAGAATCAAAGAGACTAAAAAGTAGAACTGCGGGAAGACCGGAAAGGCGAAACAGAGAGGAAATAAATCTGGTGTCAGAAGTATCTGCTGTGTATCTTTTCAAAATCAAAACTGATCACCTCCATATATCTGTCTTCCATTTTAAGAATGGAGAAACTTTGCAAGAAATTACTTTTTTGAGTTTTTGCATATGAGGTCAATTATTTTATTCCGGGGGTGTTGAGAGACGCCAAAACTAATAGTTTCTGGAGTTTGGACCGGGTGCTTGTAAATGTGGAAGTGAAGTAAGAAAAGTGGAAACAAATTTAGCTGCTTGAACATAATTTTCTCTTTTGAAGTGCAAGAGAGTTTATTGTTTTCCAGTTTCCAATGAAAATGAACTACGAAAATGGAATTATAAGTTTTGTAATTAACTTGTATACTTGTTGCCATCAAGATTCTTTGGCTGATTTCTGTTCACAAAATTCATTTCCTACTGCAGGACATGTATCTAAGCATGATGAATTATAAGGTTAGGAATTCTTGAAGAAGGATTCTATGCCACTGAGATTCCTCTATGAACAAGTTTGATACAGCTCACCTAATTAGAGTTGCGCTCTGAGATGCTATATCCTGCAAGATCAAGCTTAGCAGAATGGTTACTGGGGGTGAGACAGTAGACTTCTATCTTGGCAGTTAACCGAAGACGGATGGAGCGTATGTTATATGGGTAGAGTTGTCAGTATCTTCGATATGGAACATATATAATGTGTGTGTGTGAAAAACAGTATAATGTCATCAAATATTAATTCTAAACTAGTATAGAAACTACAATGAGTTCAGTATTAAAAACCTTAAAGTTTGACTACATCATAGTTTAAATTTTGGATCTGTCTATGCAGTTTACCAGCCATTTCTTGTTTGTTCCCCTCTTTGCTGCAATTGGCATCTTGATCTTTCAGACACATTTGTGGAGTTGAGCGTTGAATGTTGTGGGAATTCCCCCACCATGTGGTATATGTACCATGGACATGCAACATTTTGGGAACCATGGCGCCGAGTATCTTAGCTTTCTTTTTTCTTTCCTTGAGCCGAGTGTCTATCGGAAATAGCTTCTCTACCTCTATAAGGTAGGGGTAAGATCTGCGTACACATTATCCTTCCCAGACCCCACTCGTGGGATTATAATGGGTTTGTTGTTGTTATTGGTGGCGCAGAGTATCTTAGTGGATCAGTATCAATATATCATATGAAAGAACAGATTTTCACACCAGGTGATTTCCTTCATTATTAGCTTGTTAATTCAGTCCCTTTGGTTTAAAAAGCCGGATGATTTCCAATTTACACATTTTGATCATGTGTTACACAGACGTAACAAGGTTTGAGCTTTCAAGGCGTGGCTATATTACTAGTTTTTCTATAGTAGGTTTTGACTTACTTACACGTCATTCTCCTTTCAACTATTATCGTTGATTCATCCCTTGTATTTTGACCACCACCGGTAATCGGAGCACTAAGTAATTGTTTCTTGGTTTAGTAAATATAGGAAGGACAGAACATTGGTTGAGCAAGTTAGCTTAAAATGGGATTTCTTCTCATTTATCCAGGTTTTGGTAGACATAGTTACTCGTTATAATATATGATAGTGAGAGATAACAAGTATTTAGTGAAATAATCATAATGTATACGAGTTGATCCGAACACTATCATTATCAAATTAAAAAGAGCGTGGCAGTGTACGACTTGTCAAGTGATCGACAGGGATATGAATTTAAGCTAGTGTTTGGACATAGATTTGATAGAAATTTGAAAAAAGAGTTTTTGAAATTGTGTTCGAAAAATAATTTTTGAAAGTTGAAGTTGTATTTGGATATGTATTTTATTTAAAGAAAAGTTGAAGTTTTGTGAGTAGAAGAAAATATTTCACCCAAAACCTATCATAAACTAGTTTTTGGAAACTTGAAATTTTTTGAATTTTTATCCAAAACATGATCATATTTTATAAACAAACGATATTTTTAATTTGTATTTTGAAAAAATAAAACCAAAACTATGGCAGGAGCTAAGTATTAGCACAAACTCCTAAGAATAAAGTAAGACCTAAAACCTAGCATTGATTGAATAGCCTCTGTCAACTCATTTCCTGTTTTGCAGCTTGGCGTAGCTAAGGGCGGCCATAAAAAAGATTCTTTTATTTTTTTTTAAATTATTGTTTGGCCATTAAAATTTAAAATTTCACTTGAAATTGAATTTCAGAATTTTTTCGGAATTTGAAAAATTTCCAAAAGTTATTTTTTAAAATTTTCACTTCAAAACACTCACAAAAATTCAAAAATAGCTCCAAATTGTATTGATGTCCAAACACAACTCTAATTTTTAAATATCATTTTCAACTTAAAAACAATTATTTTTTCCCGGAATTTTATAGTTTTTATGTCGAGACGCCCCCTAAGAATTTCGTAGGGACCATCAAGCAAAGTAAACCGTTTAAAATCACATTTAGGAGATTAAAACAATAATTGGAAAGATCCAATGAAAAGAGAGCTAGTCATCAAAGCGAGAATAAAGGCACTTTATTATGGAGGAGACAAGTCCACATCATATAATGACTTAGTTTAATTGAAGTAAGGTTAAGAACATTCCACATCTGGCAAAGTCTCTCGATATTAGTTAGCAAGATATGACTTTGCAAGTCACTAGGATTCTAGTAGTTTACTCACATGGCCTTTCTTTACTTAAACTTTTAAATTAACCTTTCTTGGTAGGAGTGTTAATTTTCCACTAATCTCTTTTTTCAGTCTTACGTTAATCTCGAGGTAAAAAAGATCCCTTCGTTGTTTAGTCCTAAACTCCTAATTGAGTTGTTGCAATTAATTTTTTAAGCATTTTGTGGTCTAAAATCTTCAATGACGAACTTGGTGACGCCAAAGAGTTCTTATTATATGTATTTGAATACTTACTTTCCAGTTGATTAACTTTTAAAGATTCCTAACTTGGCAACAAATGTGTCTGTACCAAAAATAAAAGTATTTGTGTTGTGGTACTTCTCACATTGAATTCCCTTAAATAGTTTTTTTTTTTGCATGTTTTTTTTATATATATATATTTTGACTTTCCTTATTGAAAGTCATGGCTCAGCCACGACCTTTGAACTCTATGACTTAAAAGAATATAAGGGGTTGTTTGGTAGGATTTATAAGAATAATACTGAATAAGGTATATTAGTAATAATAAGATTAGTTAAGCTGAGATTATTTCTTATCAACTATTTTATTTAGTATATTAAAAATAACATGTATTGCATTATTTTTAAAAAAGAATGTTATTTGTTTACAAAAATAGCCCCCACATTCTTTGGAAAAAGTTTTGTAAGAGCACTTCTATCTTTATACATGCATGCTTATCAACGTATTAAAAAATTTGGTATTGCTACGTATAAAAAAAAGTACTGAATATGGTGTATAACTATTACAAGTATTAATTATACATAGGTCGAAAAATAATACTCTCTACGTTCCAATTTATGTGAATCTGTTTGATTAGGCGCGGAGTTTAAGAAAAAATGAAGACTTCTAGAATTTATGGTCCTAAACAAGTCAAAAGGGGGTCAGAGTATTTGTATGGTTATAAAAGTCACTCATTAATGATAGAATTGTAAGTTTAAGCTAAATTGTTACCAAATTTAGAAATGAATCATTTTTTTTGAACGGACCAAAAAGAAAATAAATTCACATAAATCAGAATAGATGAAGTATTAAATAAAGAATTAATAATAACATCGCTAATATATATATTATTTTTCCTAAAATATCCTATCAAACTACCGGTAGGTGTATTATGAGCCAAGATAGATCTATCTAGAGTGAAGAAGGCATATGATCACATGCTAATTGTCTCCTCATAGAAACTTCATGAACTAAACGTACATATGGTTTAGATAGATATAAAAGAGAGGGTTAATCATCACCACTAATTCTTTAAAAACAAGATACTGTGCATATTATTAAAAATTGAAATCCAATCATTTCAAAAATTATACTACTATAGTAGTTGTTCTACTCTTGTCAATGTATGAAAGGCAAGTCAACCAAACCTCGACTTCATACACGTGTCAATCTGACATAATCAATGAGCTTTATATTTGTTGCGACTTGTGCTGTTCTATCTCCACGTTCTCTTTTATTTGTGGTCCTTTCTTTTATTATTTCTTGGAGAGGATTAATTAGGTGCTTAATTAAATGAATTCAAAATTTTAAATCGCTAATTGTGAATTATCACGATTCATGACATTTATTACGGATTACTTATTACTCCATCCGGTTCATTTTAATCGATTTTTAAACCTTTTTTTGAGGTCTACGATATTTGATTTTTTCAAATATCAAGAAGGAATTTAATTTTTTTTTTCAAAGTTGTCTTTGGAGTAAATAACTTCGGAATATTTGCTATAGTTTCAATGAACAAACTAAGGTTAATATGATCAATTTTATTGTTAATTAATGCTAAAAGATGAATTCCTTAATATATATAAAAATAAAAAAAAAATCAATTAGAGTGAATCGAAGGGAGTAATAAAGAGCACTCTTGGGTTAACTTAAATTATATGTGTGCACTTTGATTGAGAACGGAGTTAAAAAAAGTAAATTATATTCTTAAATTTATGGTCTAAATTGAAATGGAGTATTGAACTGGAGAATGGGGAAAAGACACCATATAATTATTGTACTTTCTACTTTTATTTCAAGGGCTATGTAGAAGAACCTTTTTGAGTTTTTTTCTCCTTTGGCTAGTTGTTTAGCTAAAGTCCAAAGAGAAATGGCCAGTAAGTGCTAATTGAACTTCAAAAGATTATTATTCATATCCGTAAAAATACTTGTGTCCAACTGCTCTTTGACAACCAAACATCCCTCAGTCACTGTGTCTCTTACCGACTGGCCCTTTTTTGTGGCTCTGGAGTCTGGTCAGTAGACACAACGTTTTTGGAAAAAAGGAAAGATTATTTACACATATCAAAAGTATCAACAGAGATTGTGATCATGTGAAGTTTATAGTCAAAGAGTTCTCAAATACAGAAATGCGTCGTTCTTCTTATTCACTTTTTTCGATTTTTTTTTTTTTATAAATCAGTGTTTGATCATAAAAATTTTAAATTTCACTTGAAGTTAAATTTCAGAATTTTCAATATTTGAAAAACTCCAAAAGACAAGTGAGGGTTGCTTAGTTGATAAAGCACCTCCACCCACGACCGTTAGGTCCTGAGTTCGAGTCACGCTGAAGGGAAAATGTGGAAACACTATAGATCTTCCTAATTTGGGAGGGAATAAAAAAAAAAAAAAAAAAAAACCCCAAAAAAAAAAAAAAAAAAAAACTCCAAAAAATTATTTTCAATATTTTCATTTCAAATCACCTACAAAAATTCAAAAATAGCTCCAAATTGTATTCATATCCAAACACAACTTTAATTTCCAAATACCATTTTTACTTTAAAAAATTCATTTTTTTCCCCGAAATTTCACAATTTTTATGCTAAAATTGTCAGTGTCATATAAAATGTAATTTAAGGGATGCCTAAAAAGGCAGAATATATCCGATGTAATTCTGATTGGATTTTCTCTTATTCCTGGCGTGCTTAGACCACTAATGATAATTAACCGGCATGTTAATGCCTTTGCTGATAAGTGGAAGGAATGTATTAAGGATAACAAAATATATTGACCCCCTAAATGAACAAAAGAAAGAAAAGAATAATCTTTCTTTGTCGATTTGTTGGTTATTTAATGAGAAATTTTCAAAAACCACTATTGTTTAGTGGCTATTAACTCCCTATAGCTATCATATACATAATTACTTCCTATAGCTACTATTCAGTTGTTACGATAGTGTATTCACATGTATTCGCGGTATTGTATTCATGAATACAATAGCAAAAAGCACCTAAAATCAGGACAGTCCAGCTGTACGCGCATGTATTCACATGTATTCGTACCATGTATTCATGAATACAACAGTAAAAAGCGCCTAAAATCAAGGCAGTCCAGCTGTACGCGCATGTATTCACATATATTCGTGTTGCTGTATTAATTAATACAATTGTACGCGCATGTATTCACATATATTCGCGTCATGTATTCATGCAGTAACGACAATCCCTTAAATATAGGTATGTCCAGCTATCTAAGAGAGAGAAAACATATAAATAGCGTATTTCATGCCTCAATGGTAGTATATACAATAAAATACTTATTTTGTTATAAAATATAAAAGGTAGCTATAGAAAATAATATTTTAAAATAATTTTAGTTTATAATAAATATGGTGTATACCTTTGTTATAGGAGGTAAAATTTTCTTATTTAATTTAGCTCTTTAACCCATGGTTGACATGATAATAATAACAAGTCCAATAAAATCTTACAAGTGGAGTCTGAGGAGGATAATATGTACGTAAACCTTATCTCCACCTTGTATACGTAGAGAGACTACTTCGTATAGACCCACAACCTACACCATAATAAGAAAATAAAATTCAAGAATGAGATTTGAAAGCAAACTAGCTACTAGTAATGCATATTAATTAAGTTGGAGATATTTGTGTTACTATTGGTGTCACTAAGAGGGCTAGTCATACAGGTCGTGGCGTGACAACAACCGTTGGATAACAAATGTTTTCTTTGAGATTGATTCTCGACATTCATTAACTGATAATGTAAAAGAATGTTTACACGGTCACCTAATACATGTAAATATTCTTAGTAAATAGCATTAGTAACCTGAAAAAACGAGACAAGTAATATGTTATAACTAGTTAAAATATATCAATAGCGTGAAAGTTCTTTACACTATCAATGTATATAAAAGGGTAATCGGTGCATTAAGCTCCCGCTATGCGCGGGGTACATAGTCTTATATTGCATTTCTGCAAGAGGTTGTTTCCACGGCTTGAACCCGTGATCTCCTAATCACACGACAACAACTTTATCAGTTACACCAAAACTCACTTTCACACTATCAGTGTATATAATTAGTTAAATTAAATCCATACTTAAAAGCTAGAAGAATGCCTAAAGATTAGCATTAATCTTGAATCTACTGGAAGGTATCATAGCCACGCATTCCTCTTTCAACAGTGTGGTCACTCAAGTACTATACTGTGCGCGCACATTACTCCTCTATTTGTGTGCATATATTATCTTTATTCTACATAGGCAAATTTGCATGTTTCACTTTTGTCCATATAAAAAGAGAAGAGAATGTCTTGTGCTAGTAATAGAAACTAATAGGTCTATGTTTTAGTACTACTAAGTACTAATAGTTGACTCAATAATACTATAAGAGAGTGACAAACTCAATACCAATATTTATTTATTACTACTTCTAAAGCTCCTTTCTCAACTCTCTTCTACTGTCCACCAATTACCAACTTCTCAAACATCATCAGCAGATTCATTTTAGGATATGAAGGTTGGTTAATTAATTAGCATAACAGTTGCAGCAATTATTCTAAAGCTGTATATATTGCTAGGTTGATAAATTTACTCTGTTTTGGCTTGCAGTTCTTTAACTGGATGCACAATAAGTTAAATGGGGGACAAAGAAGCAGAAAAACTAATGCAGTCCCTATCACAAGTAAGCCTTCTTCTCCTTCTCCTATTAGCAAAACCAAACTCAATTCCTTTAGTGCAGCTTTTCCTAAGACATGCATGCACTGTATCGCAGTCAGCGGGTAATCAAGCATTTTTCTTTTCTTCTTCGTATCTATAGTATTAGTATTAGGCTGATAATTTTATTCCTAAATTGCTATTACTACCTGTTGTTTTCGTATTATATTTTGCTTCAGTTTTCTTAATAGTTACTGTTTCTTTTCATGAACTGAGAGACTATCGAAAATAACATCTCTACCTCTTAGAGTAAGAGTAAGGTCCGCATATATATATATATATATATATATATATATATATATATACACGGGTCCCACTTGTAAAATTTATTGTTGTTATTGCCATTTAGCACAGAAGTTATATTAGAAGTAAGTTAAAGAATTTCTTTTTTTTCTCTCAAACATTTATGGGGAAGGATAAGGGGCCGGGTTGAAAAGATCAATGTGAGAAACTACCACGACATTTACACGTGTAGTTTTAATATACGTCTGCCGAAAAGTAATATTTGACCTACGTATACACTACAATTTTCCTGCAAATAGTATTCGATTGACCATCTTTCGACATATATATGCAGCTCTGTCCCTGGTAGTGAAATCTTTAAGGTCTTCTTAATATAATGTAGTCAATGTTGTAAGTAATTAAAGTACTGTGATTCTTCATTATATTATCTGCAAATTGTGTGACAAATGATAGAACAGATAAACAGAGATTTCTACTAAATCTCCTAATCCTTAATTAACGTGGCATATAACAAGCTTGATTAGGCAACGGCATATATTGAGGAGGCTTTTTCACGTGGGGGATGCATACTAATTTCCTCAAATACTACATTATACTTTAACCAAAAGTAGACAATAAATTTTCGAAATTTGAGAAAATGCTGGACTGTCTCTTTAAGTTGTTTGATTGAGTGTTTAATTTTGGTCACAGATCAAACAAATGAAGAGTTCAAAGATTGGCCAGATTCGTTATTGGCAATTGGAACTTTTGGCATTAAGAGCAGTGAAGAAGTTGGCAAATTACAAAATGATCATCACCAGGACGAAATACTAGAGAATTCACCAGATTTAGCAGAATTCACACCTGAAGAAGTTGGCAAATTACAAAAAGAGTTAACAAAATTATTATCCCGAAAACCGGCTGCTAATAATGCTGATTATATTTTTCCATTGGACAGATTTCTTAATTGTCCTTCAAGTTTGGAAGTTGATCGTAGGATTAGTTCCAGCAGATTTAGCAGTACTAATTCAGACAATTTTGATTATGACGAGGAAGAACTTGACAGAACTATAAGAGTGATTATAGGAAGATGCAAAGATGTTTGCAATAAGCAGAACAAAAAGAAATCAATTGGGAAGAAATCCATTTCTTTTCTTCTCAAGAAAATGTTCGTTTGCGCAAGTGGTAATTTTGGTCCAGCTCCTGGTTTACGAGATACATTTCAGAAATCAAGAATGGAGAAGGTATTAATATATTGCTATTATACTTTTAATATACTATCCTTGTTAAGATTTTTGCAACTTCCCTTGTGTTTTTCTCATATATATATATATATATATATATATATATATATATATATATATAGCCGGATCGAAGATTTTAACTTAATGAGTTCAATATTTATGTTCTTGCCGCTGAACCAAATTATGGATTCAATTATTCTTTTTTAAAAAAAATAAATTATTTTCATGTTGAAATTAGATCAATATCTATTTCGAGTTTTCTAGAATGTATCAATAAACTAGACTCATACTGTGAGTTCTTTCTCTAGAAGAAATATGTGATTTTGCTTCTTACAGTAATATGTTTGATCCCGCTTATGGGGTCAGGATCGATTGATATCCTCTAGTTGTTCATGCAAGACATGCTTATTTTGCATACAATTATGGTTCAAAAATTTAATACTTATTAAAATTCTCGTGATTTTTCACAAATATAAATAAATTTTCTGACAAAAACTTTGAGTCTATACCTTCTTAACTGCATCCTCACTAATTTTTTGTTAACAACTTAATCTTGTATTAGTAACAACGTGCATTTAACAATTGCAGCTTTTAAGGACAATGCTTTCCAAGAAAATAAGCCCTCAAAATGCCTCTCGGACATCAACAAAGAGATATTTAGAGGACGAACATCCACAAAAGGAAGAGCAAGAAGGGAAAAAACTAGAGAAAATCTTTAATGATGGATCTAAATGGGTGAAAACCGATTCTGATTGTAAGTAACATTCAATAATTTTTATATTTAAGAAAAAACAAAATTTTAGCTTAATTCTAGCTAACCAAAACTTATTTTTTTCATTTGCAGTTATCGTCTTGGAAATGTAGATAGACCTTCCAAAATTGAAGAACTTTGCTATCCGTTAAGTTTTTGGTCTAATATCATCTTTGTCGTTAGGAAAAAGTCTCAATTTTGTCCTTGAGTCCTAACGGGTGAGGCAAATATGAGATGTTTTACTAACTGGCAGGGTAACATAAGATCAAAGTTTTAACAGGGGGACTAAATTGCTTAATTTCAAATAGTACAAGAATAAATTTGGAATTTTTTTCAACTTCCTATTTTTTTATAACCATGTTTTGGTTTTTTCTAAAGAAACTACTTATAACCACAGGCTCTGGAAATTATGACTCTCCAATGTACAAAGATAACAATATAATTATCTTTTTGGAAGGGTACTTACGTCTTTTTCCATGGTTGTATCTTTGATGGATGCAACACATGTTGTGTAATGCTTCAAAGGGAATCTTGTGATTTTGTACTATTCTGAAATTGTAGTACAAGAAGTCTCTCCACTTTCTTTTAGTACTATTTGTGATCTTGAAAATGTTACCTTAGTAATGTGCCTTTGTTGGCAATTTGGCATGATATGTGATGTTATTTAGTTAGTCAATCAAAATACATTAGTTCATATTTTCAATCAACACAATTTGTTACATAATCGTGTGTAAGGTTAAGATAATCTATTAACTTTATGCCACAAATAACAGGGCAATATAACTTTATTTGACATTTTTCTTATTAAACTGCATTTATAAACTTTTTTTATAGCCAAACAAATAAAGGAACAATTGCAAGCCGTACAACCAACAATACGACAATAGAATTAGATGCGTTTAGTTTATTTTTATTTTTTCCCTCGTAATTGATCTGAGATTGATTGTGGAACCATGCATAGAAAATAGGGGTCATGCTAGAGTCCGGCCTGGAAATAGGCTAGGCGGAATAGTTATTTACTTTAATTTCAATATTTTAGAGTAAATTTCACTAAACTTCATTAAGGTGACATATAGAAGAACCTTTTTGAGTTTTTTCTACAGGTGACAAAGGGGTGGGCCGGTGTCATCACCCAAAATCCTAACCTGTCGTGATGGCACCTAACATGGTACTAGGCAAGCCGATTTCTTATAAATATTTCCAACACTTCTAACAAAAATGAATTTAAAGCAGTTTTAATAGTAAAAGTTCTCATAATCGGAATAGAAAACCCAAAACATAATGCAGAACTCCCAACTATCAGGGTGTCACAGAGTACATGAGCTCATCTATACATCACAAGTCTGGAAAACACGGTCTATAATAGTCTGAGAATAAATACAGTAATCAAGAAGATAAGGAATGAGAGACAAGGTCTGCGAAACACCGGCAGCTACCTCAGAATCTCTGGATAATCAACTGTGTGAAGAAAATCAACACCCACTGTGTCCGGGAATACCTGGATCTGCACACGAAGTGCAGGGTGTAGTATGAGTACAACTAACTTAACAATTAACAATACTAAATAAAGAACTGAAAGTAGTGATGAGCTTCATAGCTGAGTCTAATTATAGTAAATTCCAACATAATAAGGTAGGCTATGCTTTCAAGTTCAACATTTAAGGCCAAAACAGTAATTTCATGTCAAGTTCAACTGAAACATAAGATAAAATCTCTCAGAAATTTCTAGAACAATGATATATGACAACTGTAGTGCAATAAGAATGAAATAAAATGCATCTTCTCAGGACTACAGTCACTCAGCCATTCCATCCACTCAGCACTCAGCACTCGCACTCAGTATGTACCTGTGCTCACTAGGGGTATGTACAGACTCCAGAGGGGCTCCTTCAGCCTAAGCGCTATAATCCGCACGGACAACTCACGTGCTACACGGATAACTCACGTGCTATAGAATAATATATGAATCTAAACGGACAACTCACGTGCTATAGTATCAATATCTGAATCTGCACGGACAACTCACGTGCTATAGTATAATATCTGGATCCGCACGAATAACTCACGTGCTATAGTATAATATCTCACAATCAGGCCCTCGGCCTCACTCAGTCATAAATCTCTCCAGTCTCTCGGGCTCTCAATAATCATGATAATCAGCCCAAACAATAATGATATGATGCATCAATAATGAACAATAGAGATTTAGATAAAATAAACAAGTAAATTGTGATTGAGTATAATACAATAATTTAGCAGATAATTCAACATGTACACGACCTCTGTGGGTCCCTACAGTGCCTAACACATAATCTAAATATGATTTATGGTTCAATTTCACTACTATATGGAGAATGTACAGATAACAACAGGTTATTCAACTACACAATTCTATGGAATTTGACCAAGTCACAATTCCTATGGTGCACGCCCACACGCCCATCACCTAGCATGTGCATCAACTCAAAACCAATCACATAACACATAATCCGGGGTTCCATACCCTCAGGACCAATTTTAGAACTGTTACTTACCTCAAACCACGTAATTCTTTATTCTGCAATGCCTTTGCCTCGCGAATCAGCCTCCAAACGCCTCTAGTCTAGTCACAAATAATCTGATTTAGTCAATAAAAATTATAGGAATTTATTCCATATGAAAATATAAAATTTCCATTAAAATCCGAAATTTCACCCAAATATTGCCCGTGGGGCCCACGTCTCGGAACCCGACAAAAGTTATAAAATATGAACGCCATTTCAACTACGAGTCTAACCATGCAATTTTTACCAAATTCCGACATCAATTCGGCCCTCAAATCTTCAAATTAAACCAAAAGGGTTTTCTAAATTTTCCAACTTAATTCACCGATTAAATGTTAAAAACAACCATGGATTCAGGTAATTTGACTAATACTGAGTTAAGAACACTTACCCTGTTGTTTTCCTTGAAAATCTACCAAAACTTGCCTCTTCCCGAGCTCCAATCCATCAAAAGTGGAAAATGGGACGAAGTCCCATTTTTAAAACTTAAACTTTCTGTCCGGACCTCTCTTCTTCGCGAACGCGACAGGTCCCTCGCGTTCGCGAAGCACAAAATTGTACTATCTAACATTGCCCTTCGTGAACGTGAGACACTACTCGCGAACGCAATGCTTTACCTATGCTCTTCTTCGCGAACGCGAGCTCCCCTTCGCGAATACGAAGGCAAAAATCCACCCCAACTATTTTTCCTTTCGCGAATGCGATACTCAATCGTGAACGCGATGAACAACTTCGCCTGACCCCAGCTTCTCTTCGCGAACGCGAGACCCTTTCACGAATGCTAAGAGAAAAACTTGCCTGCCTCAAGTTCCCCTTCGCGGACGCAAGAGCCCACTCGCGAACGGAAAGAAGGAAACCAGACACAAGCATCAGAAAATTCCAGCAGTTGTTTAAGTCTAATTTTCGGTCCGTTAACCATCTGAAACTCACTCGAGGCCCCCGGGACCTCAACCAAATACACCAACAAGTGCTAAAACATCATAAAAACTTAGTCGAACCCTCAAATCACATCAAACAATGCTAAAATCACCAATCACACCCCAATTCAAGCTTAACGAAAACTACCGAATTCCAACTTCTACATTCGATGCCGAAACCTATCAATTCAATTCTGATTGACGTCAAATTTTGCACACAAGTCAAAAATGACATAACGGATTCATAAAAATTTTCAAAACTGGATTCCGACTCTGATATCAAAAAGTTAACTCCGGTCAAACTTTCAAACTTAAATTTTTATTTTAGCCATTTCAAGCCTAATTTAGCTACGGGCTTCCAAATAATATTCGGACACACTCCTAAGTCTAAAATCACCATACAGAGCTATTGGAATCATCAAAACTCTATTTCGGGATCGTTTACACATAAGTCAATATTCGGTCACTATTTTAACTTAAGCTTTAAACCTTGGAACTAAGTGTTCCAATTCATTCGAGAACCTCACCAGACCCAAAGCAATCACCCCGACGAGTCACATAACAAATATAAAGTATAAATTGAGCAGTAAATGGGGGAACGATGTTGTAATACTCAAAACGACCGGTCGGGTCGTTATATTTTTCCCCTCTTAAACAAACGTTCGTCCTCGAACCGGTTTAGAATTATACTTGGAGACTCAAATAAGTGTGGATATTTGATCTGCATCTCCCGCTCAATCTCCCAAGTAGCTTATCCGACTGGCTGGCCTCTCCACTACACTTTCAATGAAGTTATGTTCTTTGATCTCAACTTTCGAGCATGCCGCTCTAAAGTGGCCACCGACTTCACATCATAAGTGAAATTACCATCCAAATGCACTGTGCTGAAATCCAAAACATGAGACGGATCCTCGACATACTTCTGGAGCATAGATAGATGAAACATTGGATGAACACTCGATAGACTAGGCGGCAATGCAAGTTCATAAGCCACCTCTCCAATCTTCTTAAGCACCTCAAACGACCTAATATACCGAGGGCTCAACTTGCCCTTCTTTCCGAACCTCAACACACCCTTCATGGGCGAAATCTTAAGTAGAACCTTCTCCCCAACCATTTAAGCAACATCACGGACCTTCCGGTCAGCATAACTCTTCAATCTAAACTGCGCCGTG